TCTTCATTACAATGGTGTAAAACATATATAGTGTCAGACCTGAAATAAATATCTGTGCCCCTCACTGAAAAAAACGTGCTCACACACCAAATTAATACAATATAAAATATGTGCCTTTCACTTGAAAAAAAGGTGCACACACACTTAATATATTAAATGTTTAGCCATATATAAAAAAAAAAAACCCTATCAACCAAGGGGCTAAACATAAAGTGCTAAAGTGCAAGAAAAGTGCAAAAAAGTGTCCACTCTTCAAAAAATGATCACAGCAATGTCCGTTTGGTGATGAATACAATCATGCAATGTGCAGTGGTATTTAACAATTCCATGATTGTGCCAAACACTCTTCTTCTATTTGCGGCTAGATTGCCTCCTCAGCTCCTCCCAGTGACCCCTAGGGGCCAACACGCTTGCAGGATCACCCTGGATCCTTAAACCATATGGGCCAGCAGCTTTCTTCCTTCAATGGATCTCCTTATGGGGCTCCTATTGCCCCTGATCCGCCAAGATGTCTCTAGAGGACAATGGCTCACCAGCCCAGTGAGCCAAGAAAAAGAGACCCTCTAAGTGTAGTATTAATGTAAATACGACTCCTTTATTATAAAGTAAAGAATGACACACATTCTTAGCAGTTCTCCCTCCTCACCGATGTGTGGGTATACTGCATGTGTGTGGGACTTCCTGGGTGTACCAAGATGGCGTCGCACGCCGGAAGTGCGTCACCGCGCACTGGAAACTGCGTACTCGCGTACCTACGCGTTACGTCACTGTCTACTCGTGACTTCCTCGGGGTATCGCATTACGACCGCAGTTCCTCCTTTTATACCGGACCTATTAATTGACGGCAATCACGGCCCGCCTTGCATGTATTCGGCGGTGCCCGCGGCCATTTTCTTGGAGACATCCCCTATTCTGACCGCGGCCATTTTCTTAGTGACCTCCTTTATTTCCAATGCCGCATATTACTCCCCTAAACTAAGTGGGGAATAGGACGCAAAGCTTAAACCCACATACCCACGCTATTGGAGTTATTAACTAGAAACACAAGGTCCTGGTACACTAAATAATTAAAATATAAATTTATTTCAATAATGTTAAAAAACCTTTTAAAAAATACAAATGTATATACATAATAGATAATTAGACCCCTCAATATATAAATATTGAAGAGCTATATAACAATCTACCACTAGGGGATGAACTGAGAGGATGACCATATATTCTACCTGACACTCAGAATTCATTAATTCTCAAAATTCATAAAAAATAAAAACTTTCTAAAAAAAACTATCCCTTCATCATGCAATCTGCCCACACATTAACATAATTAAATACAATCCTAATAAATACAATTAATATATAAAATATTCCATACTGCATTATTAAAACAGCCATATAAAAATAAAAAAAAAAAAAAAAAAAAAAGTTTTTTTTTTTTCCCCCCCTTTTTTTCTCTCTTCTTCTTTATAAAATAAAATAAAAATAAAGAAATAAAAAATAAAAAATATAAAAATGACAATAAAATCACATACAAGTACCAATTATAATATCTATACAAAAATCTGAGAATTATTAATGACGCAATTTTTTTATCTACTTCAGAAATCACTGATAAAGCAATTTAAGTCGAATTTGACATTTAACCCTTTGGGGACTTGTGTGTTCATACAATAAATCCACCTGGACTCAGCCTGACTCAGGGATTTTATTTTATTAGTCCCCCTCCAATGCTTCTTAAATTTCTCAATCCCACAAAATTTAATTTTACTGGGGTCCTTATTATGATGTATGGCAAAGTGTCTCGAGACACTATGTTTCGGAAGAAAGCTGCTGGCCCATATGGTTTAGAAGAAAGCTGCTGGCCCATATGGTTTAAGGATCCAGGGTGATCCTGCAAGCGTGTTGGCCCCTAGGGGTCACTGGGAGGAGCTGAGGAGGCAATCTAGCCGCAAATAGAAGAAGAGTGTTTGGCACAATCACGGAATTGTTAAATACCACTGCACATTGCATGATTGTATTCATCACCAAACGGACATTGCTGTGATCATTTTTTGAAGAGTGGACACTTTTTTGAACTTTTCTTGCACTTTAGCACTTTATGTTTAGCCCCTTGGTTGATAGGGTTTTTTTTTTTATATATGGCTAAACATTTAATATATTAAGTGTGTGTGCACCTTTTTTTCAAGTGAAAGGCACATATTTTATATTGTATTAATTTGGTGTGTGAGCACGTTTTTTCAGTGAGGGGCACAGATATTTATTTCAGGTCTGACACTATATATGTTTTACACCATTGTAATGAAGAATTACATTGTATGAATTTTGTCATATTTTTCATTTTATATTATTGATATTTTAGTGAAGAGCCACATATTTTTTAGTATTTATTATTTGGTATGAGCGCTACACTATTTATACGTATGATTTACACTGTTTTGGTATCAGTCTTTGAGTGTTGGCAGCTTTAGGCTAGGTTTGCTTCCTTTTATAGCGCAGGAGGACTCCTGACCCTAAGGGAGTGAACGAGTTGTTTAGTAGTGTCTGGGGTTAGGAACGTACGTATCTTGGAGATGTTGCGGAGGTGGAGCCTGCATGAATTTGCCAGCGATTGGACATGGGGTTGGAACAATAGGTTTGAGTCTAGGGTGACACCTAGGACTTTGGCTTGCGGGGTGGGATTGATGGTGGCGTTGGTCATGATGGAGGGGGTGGGCGCGGGCTAGGGGGAAACTAGGAGCTCGGTTTTGGAAAGGTTCAATTTGAGGAAATGGAGCGACATCAAGTCTGATATGTCGTTCAGTAGGTGGGTGATACGGGCGGAGACTGAAGGGGTGAGGTGAGGGGTGGAAAGGTAAATTTGCGTGTCATCGGCGTAGAGGTGATAGTTGAAGCCGTGGAAGTGTATCAGTTTGCCGAGGGAGGAGGTGTAGATGGAGAAAAGAAGGGGCCCGAGGACAGAGCCTTGGGGGACCCCAACAGAGAGGGGGAGGTGGTAGCATTATAGGTAACGCTGAAGGAGCGTTGGGATAGATAGGAGAAAAGCCAGGAGAGAGCAGAGTCTCTGATGCCAAGGAGTGTAGTTTATTGAGGAGGGGGTGGTCAACTGTGTCGAAGGCCGCGGAGAGGTCGAGGAGGAGGAGGACTGAGTAGTGGTCATTACCTTTGGTGGTTAGCAGGTCTTTAGTGATTTTGAGTAGTGCAGTTTCACTACTTCTAACGAGTATGGGAATACCACATGTGAGACTTTTTGGGAGCCTAGCCACATACAGGAAGGTGTGTAACTTCATTTCACTTCCTCGCTACCTATCACAGTTTTGAAGGCCCTGAAATGCCAGGATAGCACCAAACCCCCCCCAAATTAGCCCTTTTTGGAAAGTAGACGCCCCAAGGAATTTATAACAAGGCATGGTGATTATTTTTTAGATCTCATTTTTTCTCACAAGGTTTTCAAATATAAAAAAAGAAAAAATATGTTTTTGTTTTCTTTCTTCATTTTCCAAACCCTTGTGGCAACAAAGGAGATCTGCAAAATACTCACCATGCTTCTTATCAAATTCCTTGGGGTGTCTACTTTCCATAAAGTGGTCATTTGGGGGGGGGGGGGGTTGGTGTAATTAGGAAATAAAGCCCTTTTAAAGCCTGAAGGTGCTTATTGGATTTTGGGGTCTTGTACTTGGTTAGACTGCAAAACATCTCTCACATGTGGTACCCCCCATATACTCGGGAGAAGTAGCAGACTGCATTTTGGGGAGTAATTCCATATATACCCATGGCATGTGTGAGCAATAAATCATTTACGTGACAATTTTGTGTAAAAAAAAAAAAAGTTTTTTTTTGTCATTTTCCAAAAACTTGTGGTAAAAAAATTAATTCTTCTATTAATTCAACATACCTCTCAGCAAATAGTTTGGGGTGTCTACTTTCCAAAAAGGGGTCGTTTTGGGGGCTGGGGGCATTTTATGCCCAGCATTAGAAGTTTATACCACACATCACTCACGCTTCAAACCACCTGAAGACCAAGACTTTTCTGACACTTTTTGTTCACATGAGAAAAATCTGTATTTTTTGCCAGGAAATTAATTTAAACCCCCCAAACATTATATATTTTTTTAAAGCAAACACCCTAGTGAATAAAATGGTGGGTGCTGTAATTTTTTATGTCACATAGTACTCACGCATCATCGATAGTCATTTTTTTTTCTTAAGTTATTTTGATTTTTTAAATTATTTTTACACTGTCCCTTTCATTTTTTTTTGTAATCACTTTTAATGCTATCACAGGGAATGTAAATATCCCCTATAACTTGAATGGGCATTGTCATATATTCTGTTTTGAGAAATCTGGGGTCTATCAGACTCTAGATATCTCCTCTGCCCTTACATTATCTAATCAAACCAAGATCGGTGTGATCATATGCTTTCCCAATTTACAAATGGCACTGTTTATATCCTGCGAAACTGAAGTGATTAAATGCTCATAGCTTCCGATTTCTTAGGCTATAGAGATGATTGGCACCATTCTGGTCTCCAATCAGTTCTATGGTCAGCTTGCAGAAACACCGGCTGCATTGTCAGGTTCCCCCCCGATGGCACGGGAGTGCCAGAGAAGGCTGTGGAAGGCAGTGGGGGAGGGGGGGGGGCATCATCTCCCACTGCTTGTTAAAGCAATCCTGCAGCTAATTAGCCACTAGGATTGCTTTTACATAAAAGCCGATCGTTGGCTGAAAAAAATTATACCAGGATGATGCCTCCAGCTGTAAGCATCATCCTGGAATAAACATTCAAAGTCCAGTGATGTACCAGTACGTCGCTAATCCTTGTTGGGTATATATGCTATGTTCTTTTTTTTTGTATGCAGCCTGTGGGCTGAATGAAAAAAAGAGAAGGAATCTCTGCCAGAAAAAGTGTGTGGTATGTCCACCATTAGAATATACCGCCCTGCATCCACCCACTTCTAATGGTGGGCACACATTAGGTCACATGGTGCCACATGCGCCAGTTCCAAGATTGTACAAATGTCTAAATAGTGGCACGCTTGAATAAAAATTGTCCACGTATAAGTGGTACCCCATATGGAAAAAGGATGACACTAAGTCCCAAACTATCTTGCCACTACTCCCCATGTAGTCTGGTCATCTGGGGGCTCCGCGTGACTATCTTTTACTTCGTAAATCCAAAATGTAGAAGTATAGCCTGTTGCCCTCTCACAGGTCTTCTACATCTTGACCCCATATCTGGCACGCTTGCTGGGGAGAAATTGAATGCAAGGCAGCCAGAAAAATTAATGAGGGACTCATCAATGCAGATTTTTTGCTGGGGAGTATAGACATCTGCAAATTTTTGATTAAGGTGATTTACGAGGGGCCGAATTTTGTGGAGCCAGTCAAATTTAGGCTTACCTCGAGGACGACAGAGTGTATTGTCGTTGAAATGTATAAAACACATTACACTCTCATATCTATGCCTGACCATGGCAGCAAAGAACATGGGATATAATGAATCGGGGCTGTGGACCAATACAACCGCAATTAATTTCTTTTAGTAATGCCCATGTTGAGGGTTAGGTCCTAAAAAAATTTAAATTAGGAAACCGTAATGAGTTTCCATGCGAATAGTCTGGCAAAGTTTGAATTTGGGTTGGCGGCGATAAATTGTTGTGCATATAAATTGCTTTGATCCACAATCAATGCATACAGATCTTCCGTGAAAAAAAATGTCCAGTAAAAAAAACTTAAAAATCAAATTTCGTCATAAATTTAGGCCATAATGTATTCTGCGACATGTCTTTGCTAAAAAAAAATCCCAATATGTGTAAATTAATTGGTTTACTTGAAAGTTATAGCGTTTACTAATGGCGGTATAGATACTGGATTTTTTTTTTTATACTAATAATAGCAGCGATCAGCGACTTATGGCAGGACATTCTGACACTGGGGGGAACTGACTTGGTGTCACTGACATCCCCAGTGACACCAATACAGTGATCAATGCAAAAAAAAACCACTGACACTGTACTAATGGCACTGAGGAGGAAGTGGTTAACATTTGGAGGCAATCAAAGGGTTAACTGTGTGAGGGGAGTTTCACTAGGGGGCGGGGGTCTGCTTCACTGTTACACACTGATCCGGAAGGCTGTGCTCAGCAATCCGGAACAGTGTGCTGAAAACTGACAGGGAGGAGAGCTCCATTGAAAACAATGCAGCCTCCCTCCCAGTCTGTGTATGCCGGCAATCACTCTGCTCCAGTGGGTAATCACCAGCCAGGACCAGGTGATTGACACCTGTGGTCACAATTGGTGCCGTGGGTAGGGCGGTCGCACACGCCCCCTACCCTGAAATGCAGGATCACGTTTATATACGTGATCCTGCGCACAGGGACCGCCTTGCAGCAGTATATGTACTGCGGGCGGTCCCCTAGTGGTTAAGTGGATGCAGCACATAACCTCTGATCACTGAGTTCTCAAAGCCGTTCTAAGCAGTCTGCTTCACTGGAGCGCTGGGCTGTGGAGGGGGAGGGAGTGAGTGGCTCAGACTCTTAGCGGTTCCTTGAGAAGCTGAGCCAGGTGCCACTCCAGTCTCTGAGGTGGATGCCAATTTTACAGTTGGGATCCATCCCCAGCCTGGACCGGCTGAGTGATGTCAGTTGACAGCAGCCTTCAGCCCACTGTCAGCTGAAAACGGGTCACAGGAGTGCAGAATGAACTGCACTCCTGTGATCCACAGGAGAAGTACAGTCAAAAGAGTTTTGGCTGTACTTTTTAAACTGCTATGATGGATTTATTTTATCAAGCAGAACTAACCTTGGTTCACTTCAGAATTATACCCACCAGTGGTTTATTTTGTTTTTGTGCTGCCCTGCACGTGAAGCATGACATTTTCTGGTGCCCAGTGGCCTATTTAAAATCAGCACTCTGGTGTACAAACTGCTGGATGTTCGTCAGCCCCCTGTTCCCTTGTGCTTCTGTGTTGTTTTACTTCTGGATTCCTGTTGCTGACTCGGCTTGCCCCTGGACTTGGCTCTTCTCCTGGCTTTGATCCCGGCTTGTTATACAGACTCTGCTACTCCCTGCCTCCTTGTTTGACCCCGGCCCTGTCATATGGACTTTGCTTACTGCCTGGTTCCTGTGTATGACCTCAACTAAATCTGTGACCACGCTTGCTTCTACTCCTGACTGATCTTCTGTGCATGATTCCTGGCCCCGCCTCCTGTTCTGCTCTCCTGTCACGATCTGCCTAAGCATCTGGAGCTCCGCCTGTCCTGCTGGTTCCACGGCACAAGCAAGACTTCACCTGCCCGTCTGGAGTGTCTTCAGCCCTGCTGACACCGCTGCAAGGTCAAGTCCATTCCAAGTGCCTCATCCACTCTGCTCATCAGGTTACTCCATAACAGGCAACCTGTGCTTCTTTGGGCGCAGCACTGCCTGTTTCCACTCTCAGGGGTGCTCTGCACTCAGCCGCAAGGGGAGCCCTCTCGTCACTGCGGCCTCTGATCAGGTATGTGACACCTGGATTAACAGCAGTTCCTTCCTAACAGAACATCTGGTCTCAGACCCTCTCTCTATTTACTTCCTTCCTCTGGGGTTTCTAACCCAGACCCACAGAGACAGGAAGGGATGTACATAAATACCTCTGTGACATTGGTAGCAAAGCCACTTACAAATACAGACAGTAGAGGGCAGAAGATCCTATACACATCTACAAGGGATGTCCCAGTGTTTTATCCCTTTACTGCCAGGTCCGTGGAGGGGTGTTTACACTCCCGGTGGCTGAAAACGTCAGTTGCAAAACACATTACCTATCCCTGCGCACGCTGGAGAGAAAACAATTTTAGCACCAGAACTTCTGCGTATCAAAATTGATGACCTGTACGGGCTTTCAAAAGTCTTGCCTATGGAAAATAGAGTAATAAAGTTCGTCACCATTTCATGGGCACAGTTTTAAGGTTTGACATTGTGAATATCTACGTATTGAATCGGTGCAACCTCGTCTTTTATATTTTAGCGCAAAATTGGGTAATTTATTGCGTTTGTGTGCCATAAAATTAACCTTTGTCTATATTTGATAGAAATTGTGCATTTCCTGGACATTTGCCCTAAAATCATGTAATATAAAAATTTGGAGCTGCCATCTATTATTTTATTCCCTAGGGTGTATACTTTCAGAAAACATAAAAATTGGGGTTTTATGTAATCTTCAGGGCTAAAATGATTTTTGTGTGAAAACCACAAATATGGTTATGGTAGCAAAAGGGTTAAGGATTTGCTGATAAAAATTTGGAAGCCCTTTCCAAACTGTTATTTTTGCTAGCAGGCCCTGCTATGCAACCTGCCGTAGTCATATTGTCAGTCTATCAAACCTTTAGTGGAGTGGACTGAGCTTATAACAAAGGATCCAGCTACAGTCCTTACTGGCCTTTTAGTTATAGGGTGCTTAGAGCTTTTACCTTCAGCCCTACATTATTATGTTGACGGTCTAGCTGAAAATCAGTCTTGTGTCCCGAATGAGTCTCCTGTCTTTGAAATATTCAGAGTTTTCTGTGGCTAAAATTTTGGTCTCAAGAACAAAAATGCAAAAGACACTTGTCGAGCATGCCTTTTAATGGTGAATTTCTTGTTGGTGCTTTGCTGGACTATTTCAAAAAGAACATTACTGGTGATAAGGGTATTCATTTACCCCAGCAAAAGAAGCCAAAGCCTCAAACTGGCAAATCTTCACCCACCCCTGAAGCTAGAGAACAGTTTCTTCTCACTCCAAAGAAAAACCTAAGGGAGAGGCCCAGTAGAACTGCAAACCTTGGGCCTCTAAATCCCCAAGCCTGCAAAAAAATCCTCTTCAGCATGAAGAGGGGGGACATCCAGATCCTGAATGTTCACCAAGGTCCTAGCCCCTGTGCTAGTTTTACTATGTTTTTGTGGTATTTCCATTGTGGTATACCTAGATGAACTCATATTGAGAGAACAGTCAGCTCAGACTCTGACCATTAATGTGAAGCGGACAGTCCAGACCCAAAAAGGCTTGGTTGGATGCTGCACCTTCAAAAGTCAGCACTGGAACTGACATATCACCTAACATATCTGGGTGTAGTTCTCACATGGCCCAAACTAGAATTTGTCTTCCTGTCAGGATACCAAGTCCTGCAAAATCAGGGGTGACCAGATATTTGTAACTGTACAAAGGAGACTGGACCCAAACTAAGTGCAATTGCAATAAGATTTTTTAATAACACAGCAACAAACATCTAACTCAAACAAAATACAAGCAAAAGTAAAACACGCATGACAAGTGAAACTTAGTGAAAAACAACCTAACTAACCAACTATGATACACTATATACCAAGCAAGGGGATAGATTAAGTAAGGTCATACAGGAGGTACAAGGAACAGTGGGTGAGGCAGGTTAGGAAATTGGCTAGAGCTGTACACAAACAAGGGGAACATGCAAAGACCATGGGAAGAGGGAAAAAAGTACAAGGCATCAAGATTCAGGGTGAACACCCCGCACCCCCATGTATGATTTGCCTCTCACCTTCCCACTGCCCACCTGCTCCATCACCAGCACAGTGTCGCCCGACTCACTCTGCCACCACGTGAGTGACAGGTGAGCTACTTCTGGACCGGGATCTGAGACTGCCTCCTCCTCTGCTCCCCGCACTGTCACTGGACAGTGATCCTCTCACGGGCCCCCTACTGATCCCGGGCCCTCGGGCAATGCCCAAATGGTCAGTCCGCCCCTGACGGTAAGTATTTTGCAGATCTCATTTTTTCTCACAAGGTTTTGAAATATAAAAAAAAGAAAAAATATGTTTTTGTTTTCTTTCTTCATTTTCCAAATATTAGTGGCAACAAACGATATCTGCAAAATACTCACCATGCTTCTTATTAAATTCCTTGGGGTGTCTACTTTCCAAAAAGGGGTCAATTTGTGGGGTTTGGTGCTATTCTGGTGCTATTCTGGCATTTCAGGGTCTCCGGAACTGTGAGAGGTAGTGAGGAAGTGAAATGAAGAAGTTACGCTAGACTGCCAAAAATTCTCTCACATGGGGTACCCCCATACTCGGGAGAAGTAGAGTGTATTTTGTGATCAATAAATTATTTAAAAATGACAATTTTGCGTAAAAAAATAATTTTTTTTTTGTCATTTTTCAAAAACTTGTGGTAAAAAATTAATTATTCTATTGATTCAACATGCCTCTCAGCAAATAGTTTGGGGTGTCTACTTTCCAAAAAGGGGTCATTTTGGGGGGTGGGGGCATTTTATGCCCAGCATTAGAAGTTTATGCCACACATCACTCACTTTTCTAGCCACCTGAAGACCAAGCCTTTTCTGACACTTTTGTTCACATGAACAAAATCTGTATTTTTGCTAGGAATTAAATTTGAACCCCCAAACATTATATATA